CAAATGTGTTAACATAATGTATGTGTAAACACATACAGTGTATACTTTTAAGCATTCCTGAAGAAAGTTAAGGCCCACTCAAAATATGAGTTTTGTTTTCTTTTTCAAATTGGGATGTTGGGCTTAATCCATTCCGCACAAATTCCCAAAATGTTCTAGAAGGAATTACATTCCTAGAAACATGCATTTTAAACAAAAGAGTTGTATAAGGAACAACTTTTTATTGGCCACGCTGCTATTAATGCTTCTGCTAAATACTGTATCCAGTGTGCCTTTATCTATAAACTTACCTTTTAGGACATGTCAGCGTAGTCAGCAGCATCCTTCAGTTTTGTGAAGTCAGTCACTTGCGCTCTGTTTATTTTATGTTTCTAAAGCTGCTGCTGAAGCTTAGTAGGTTGTTCTTTCAAGAAAAACAAAAGACAGATTCTCTAGTAAAGCAACGACAGGAATCATAAACCTACTTTCCTCAATGCTGCAGAATTCCCTGGGCTGTTCCTCCTCGCAAACACACTGTGGGGCTCAGATCTTTGGATTGGTGGTAAGCTCATGTGCCATGAGAAAGTACACATGATTTGGCTATTCTCACTTCAACAAATGAGAAACATTAAACCAATTTCCTATACCCAAGGCCGTAGTAAGTGAAAGTTGCTTACTAAATTCTGTTCTCTAAATGATGCTTTGACATCTTTGTTGCTAACTGTTTTAGTTATGTTTTGAAAGTTGAATATGGTTTAGTTTTGAGCTGCTTCTAATTCTACTAGTTTGATCCTTTCATGTCCTTGGAAGGAGAGGTCATTCTTCTTACATAAGATGAGGCTTGCTCTTAATATGTAACTTGCACAGAAGTGAAAATAATAGTTTCTGTGTTTGTGAATTTGTGGTATCATCACTGTGTGTATATCATATTTGTGTCACTGGGCCAAGCATGATTTTGTCAGGACTTTAGGGGAGATTATATAGCAAGCCTCGCTTCTTGATTACATAAAATTTTTCTTTCTAGAACCATTGCTTTCTTGCAGCATGTCATGTCATAGCTGGAGTGAAAGGGTTGGAAAACAAGCTGTCAAGGTGCAAATGCAGTGATGGAGTTCTGACGTCAATTCTGGTTTGGGTTATGATGGGTTTGAAGCAGGTTCTCGGTCCTTACGTTTACTTCCACATACTGTTTTAATTCATACAGAGAGTGCTGGCAGATTCTTTGTGAAATTAGGATGGGTATATTCCCAACAGTCTCATCTGCACTTAAAAGCAGAGGAGACCAGATATAGGTTGTCATATATGGTTCAGAGTCCACTGTGGTGGACATAGCTGTGCTAGGTTAACAGTTGGACTCAATTAAAGGTCTTTTCCAACACAAACTATTCTATGATTCTGTGAAAATAAAGAATATATTCTGTTTGGAACTGGTAAGATACTGCCTCTCTTTGAAGGCAGGCAGTGTGTTGATACTTGAAGTGCCTCGTAGCCTTGGAGTAAGCACTGGATTTTCATTTGCATCTTGTGTCAATTTATACATGCTGATCCATGCACAAGCAGAGATTGTCCCTCTGTGCAAAAGAATTGTCCTTTGTTTGCATTTTAAGGAATATATTTTGGCAAAATATTTCCTTACCATTACTGCCTGAGGCATTAAACAGGTTCAGTACTCAGCAGAGTGTGTACGCAGCATGGAACTGCCATGCTGGAAATGGGTCTAGCCCTGTGGTTTTAATTTTCTTAACAAAACAAATTTACCTTGGCAAATCTGCTGAGATGCACATCCAGATTCTCTGTTCCGTGGTTCAAACTTTCAAGTTAACTGAGTAGATTGTTTAGAAATTCAGCAAAACATGAACATTCTAATTTACAGGTTGCTAATTTGGGGAGGGAAAGAAAAAGATTGTTCTCGCTTCATGTGTATGAGTAACACTTTTGCAGCTGTGTCCTTTTAAGTAAACAGTCTTAGTGTCCTTCTGTCAGATGCATCAGATACAGGTACTGTTTGAGCACTTGTGCTGCCAGCTGTTTCCTTAATGATGCTATTCTTATGATGTTAATTTTCCTTTTCTTTCTTGGTCTCTTGTGGGCAAACGGAAGTGCATACACATGAAAGGAATTGAGAGTGTGTGCACCTCTCGGAGGGAGAGTGAGCACATGTGTTTTCTATGCTGAATTTAAATTTTCCTTAGGCAGTTCTAATGTTCTTGAAATAACTTGAGTGCTTAGGCGTATTTCCTATTACTGTTCTAAGCCTAAGGGAAACTAGTTTTGCCCCTCAATATACTAATAATGGGCCGCAGTCAGCTGGAGCTTTCAGGTGGTGGTAATAAAGTGACAGCTGCTTTAGTCTTCTGAGCTATTTATGAGATTTGAGAGAGGTAACCTTTCTTCTAGAAGAAGGGAAATGGGATAGAGAGGTCAGTTAATATCTTAACCTTTACTGCTTGTCATTGATCACTAACTAGAATACAAACCCGTACTTCTGCAGCAAAGGAGAACCCATTTCATATAACTTTTAGGTCCCGAACTCCCCAAGGCAAGGGAGTAAACCCTAAAGCTTAGAAATACACTTCAAAAAAAGGAGGAAGAAAAGGCAAGTAATTTTTTTTTTTCTTTTGCACAGGCTACAAATCAAGTGCAGATGAGCTATAAATCAGTAGTTTGTCTGTGTATGGAAGTGCTTCCCCCTGTAGGTGGACGGGTGAGGTATTCCAGAATTTATGTTAGGAGTCTTCCTAGAAGATGCTATTTATTGCAAATAATAATGTATTGTAACTGGAACCATTTCTGAGCTGAAATTACTACATTTATGTAACTACTAATAAAGTTTTGTCTTTCATTCTAGGAACTTGTCAGGTACTCTTTTAGACATGGTTTTCTGCATTGGACTTGACACTCAAATCAGGCTAATAGAGATTAGTTGTATACCATAGCTTATGTCTGTATTTAAACATAAAAGGAGTGCTTTTATGTTCCTTTCTACTGACAAAAGCAAATCGGTGTCTTTTTTTTTCAGACAGGTAACATAAGTCAGTACATTAGAGAGCAGAAAAAAATTACTGTCGTTTACAGTATGAGTTTTCATGTGGTGCTTGTCGTTAACTTGGTTTAATTGGCTGTGTGTAAATATTCACCAGTTGCCATGCCAAGTGTGGTTATTTTGCAAGTTTTGTGGCTTATTCTGTAGCAAATACAGTACTTGAGTATTTGTAAGTATAATCACTGCAGTAATCAGAGAAACTAGTGTGCAATATAACCCAAAATACTGCTGTTAGCTAGGGGTAGGTTATGCTGCCTGTTTCAGAACTGGAAAAGAAAAATCCATGCATCAGTGTGTGTGAAGTTTGTGCTAAATCATAATAAAAGGTACTATGAGATACAAGTGTCTTTCTGTAAGGAAAAAACATACCCATAAAAGCAAGAGTAAAAGTTAAGTGTATTTGGATACATGGTGTCACAGTCTACATGGTGCCTCTTAGGTTCATAACTGACTCTTGCAAGGGAATACTGGCTGCTGAATAAGCTGGTAAGAGAACGCATCATTTTTTATTGACGAATGGCATCTGTCTGTTTTTTTCCTGCATCGTACACTTTGGTCACAGCAACAGCCTTCCCCCTCCCCTTTAAGTAGGCTGATGCAAGGTTCTGGGCTTGTGCAACAGAAGGTAATTAGTGATTCCTAAACAACTTAAGCCAGTTGTGCTAAGTAGCTTCATCATTCATTGATAAAGTGAATAAACCACCAACTTCTCATGTCTTGGAAGGTCCTAGGCAGAGAGTTTTGACATTGAAAACACCTTAAGCAAGCATTAAGATTTAACTTGGAACTTCTGAAGACCATACTTAAAACTTTCTCCTTTAAGATGGCCCAATCCTTCCATAAGCAGTAGGGCTAGAACAAAGGGCAAAACCGGTTATGGTTATGACTCTGCCAGTTACAGTGAGACAGTAACGTCAATGCCAAGTGAAAGGATGGAGCTTCTTTTGCTTACAGGATTGACCAACTCCCAACATGTGTCTGACTGATTTAGAAAAGTAAAAACTATTTTACTCTGTGAAAACCATTTAAACTGCTGTTTATTTTGTGAGTTAATCATGAAAGCATAAAAGATGTCTAGAAACACCGTGTCTGGGAAATGGATAGGCTGCAAGAACAGTAGCCTGTTAAAACATTTCCTTGATCTTGGTGACAAGAGGTAACAGTGCAAGCTGCCAGCTACTGCAAACAAAATTAAGTACTAGATGTTGACATACTTCTCAGTGAGACTTACTGTCTATCTTCACTGGTATTGGGTTAGTGTTATTAGCATCAAAAGCCTCCTTCACTGGCACTTTGACAGCTTAGCATACAAACAGACAAGAATTAGCCAGAGTGACATGCCAAAAAAAGTTTATGCACCAGCTGGAGATTTTTGCCTATTTAAGTTAAAAATCTTAGTATCTAGTAGAACAGGTAAATATAGCTTCTTTAAAAGTTTTATTACACAAAGAGGATTGGGGGTCAAACAACAGCTGTTTAAAGGGTAACACATGAAAATAAAATGGAAATTGACTAAGTGAGGTTAGAAACCAGATGGTTTCTGAGGCTTCAGAACCATATTAACCGAATGGAAATAAAACAGCTCCCAAAAAGCTATTTTAAATATTAAGAAATGAAATAATTATTGAAGTAATTGCATCCTGAAGGCAGGGATAGGCACTCTGATCCACAAAGCCTTTATCTGGTGGTAAAATGTGTGATTTGGCATAAAAAATTAGCATACAAAATGACTGATGGCATATTAGTATGTCAAAGTAGTGCCATCTATTTGATTTAGATTCAAGGGACTGTAATAAAGGTAACAAAATCTTACACCTCAACCCAAATCATTCTGTGAACATGTGGATGCAAAGAGGTGTCTTTTTCCAGTGCTGAAGCTGGCAGAACAAAGAAATCTGCAAATCTGAGAAACTGAACTTAATGTGGCTGTCAGTTTGTCAGTTCAGCATTGAATAAGGTAATAAACCACACAATCCAGTACTTTCACTGAAGTTATTTATTAACAGAAAATATTTTTCCATCACATACCCAGAAATTGCTAAACTATCACAAGTGTAATCAACATAACTGAAGTGTGAGAATTCAAGTATATGTTTTGTTGAAGAATCACAGCTTTTGTTATGAAGACAAGTTTATTCTGTGCTTAACTGATGTAGACCTTGCTGACAGATGGATACTATGCTAGAATACAACCACAATCCAATCCAGCCAAAGGTATTTTTGAAGTTTATGACATACCTTATCTTTAATTTTGGTTTGTGCTTGTTATCAGGCATAGTAAAAGGTATTATTTGCTAGGAGAAAAAGTAAACATTTACTCATTAACAGTGCTATTCTCTGAAAAGACATCAAGTTTATAAATGTACCAATGCACCAGACTGGTAACTTTGCAGTGAAGAGAGCAGTGGATTAAAGAATGTATCCTCCAACTGCACTGTCCCAAAAAGTAAGACGCACATTCAAGACTGCACTGTCATAGAGCAATCAATGAAATAACTTTAACTTTTATCTTACACTGCTGTTCACAGGCAGACATATTTTAAGTCTGTACAATTCACTATCTTAAATGTGCTTTTTTGGTGCATTGGAAATTACCAGAAGGGCAGTTAAGTGTCCTTTAACCACCCTTCAGTTGGCACGATGCACAAACACTACTGACAGACAATGTGCTCCAGACCCACCGGGTCTCAAGCGTTACACAAATATAACCATAAAAATACTTAGAAATAATCAGTAGCAGTCAATGCCACCTTATGTGCGCTTTAAAAAAAAACCCTGTGAAACTCAGTCGTGGCTTGTCTTCCCCCCTTCCCAAGTCTTGTGTTACCTGGTACCTCTTTGCCTGATTGGATAAAATAACCCATTCCGTAAGGTACATTCATTAATGTATAGAAAGAAGAGCTCTGCTGCCTTCTTTCATTTATTTTTAATAATTAATGGATTAACCCCATGAAATAAATTTAACCAACACAGGAAACAAAATTTATTCCCTGTAGCTTCTGCAGTGCTGATTTATTTGCCAAATTAACACTGCTCATTTTTCAAGTGCTTCTTTTGACTTCCATGAAAAATTAAGTTTAAACAGCATTGTTTGTTTCATATTAAGGAAGCTTTACATCATCTTTTGAAGATGACAAGTGGTAAGGTGATGCAGAGAAATCTCTCCTCTAATCACTTCTATTTAAATCTTTATTAGGCCACAAGTTAGCCAAGTTTAAAGGTTTTTAGGCCTTCCTCCCTAATGGACATTCACCTGTGTAACCACACATCCAATTCAAGGCACAGAGTCCATAGGAACAGAATCATTTATGTGCTCATGTTCTTTGGAGGTGGTGAGTAATGTTTCTTTAGATACTGAGGAACACTTACATCAGTGACACTACTTCTACCCAAGGATAGTCGCATTCTTTTCATGGAAGGGAGTTTACCTGTATCATCATGTCACCACTTGTGCTTCCTTCACGCAGCCCTTATAGTGTCACAATTATGTAAGTTATTCCTGCAAGTAAGCACCCCATCTTCCTCCTGCTATGCACAAAGCCAGCAGCTCCTCATCCTTCCTGGACTGTCCTGTTCTCAGGGCTGCTGGGGTTCACAAACGTCAAACAAAAGTTATATTTGATCCCAGGTGTGTGCAAACTGTTAGGCACAAATTACAGCTCTTTGCTCAAAAGCCCAAAGCTGAACAGCTGTCAGCTTTGCAACTAGCATTAACATGCACTGAAAAAGCTGTCTGTTCACCTGTGTGGATGCCTAGCTGGAGCTAAAAGCAATTCCTCACCTTACATAAGCATCAGATTCTCTCACAATTAAAAAACCCAAACAAAAGGCACACCTGTCTCTAAAAGCAGGTCATATAACCACGTTAGAAAAGACAAGTATGTACACAAAATTCTGAATGGAGACTGTCCTCCACAAAGCCTCCAACATCATCACTGAAACATCAGAGGCAGTAGAAAATGGTGGTCTAGTTTCCCCTTGCCATAGGTTTTGATCTGTTTTCATTATGCACAATTCCCCTGAGTCTTCCCAGTCACACAGGGGTAATCAAAGAATAATGTATCTGCATTCTTCCCTACTCCTTGCTGAAAATTACAGACACTGTAATCACATTACTGAAAACCAATGTATAAATAACGTGAAAATATATGACAGCACAGAATACTGTAAATATCTCTACGCATACGGAACAGGGTTGCTTAGTTTCAAGGAAGGTAGAAGTTGCATTCATATATGTATCTGGTTCAAGAAGCTTATTAAAACTACAGCACTCTTTTCCAAACTGTTGGGATTGTGCTTTTTGAAGATTTTTATAAGCCTCCAATGCAGACATACTTTATTTCTAAGTATTCATCAATGCCATATTTTGAGCCTTCTCGCCCTAAACCAGACTGTTTTACCCCACCAAAAGGACTCTCCACTGATGAGATTATGCCTTCGTTAACACCAACCATTCCAACTTCCAGCTGTTCTGCAACCCTCCAGATCTGAGCTGGATCCTGGGAGTAGAAATATCCTGCCACACGGAGATACAGGAATGAAAATGAAAACCAGGAAGAACAGTTGGAGAAGACTCTGAAAAAGAGACTTCTTAACATTTAGAAGCATCATTCAGTAACACTAAAGTTCATAAAGCTACAGACACACACTTATCTGACAGAGGCATACCTGCTAAACCCACATTAGCTGCGTTTGCTATGGCAATAGCTTCTTCTTCAGTATCAAATCTGTCAATATAAAGAGACAAAAACCACAAATGAGGTCTGCAGTTCACCTACCATCTTGCTGACACCCAAGCAGCAGCCTTATCAAATACAAGGTCAAGGCACAGGATTTTTCCTAAAGTGTATTTTAAACATCTGATTTCATTTTCACTTTGAAGCAGGGGAGGAGTTTCTACCACCTCTCTTCATTTAAACTGCAGGTAAGTAGGGCTGCCTTTATCTGCGCTAGATACTAATAGGTAAAACATTTACTTCACAGAGGGCAGCCCACCAACCACACATGCACTCTTTAACTATCAGAGAGAACCATATGTTCTTCCATCACATCCAATTGCTCTGGATGTAGGCAGGAAAGGTTTTAGGAGAGAAAGAGAGCTCCAGGTGATCCTGCATCAGAAAGAATTTAGGACTAGCAAATCACATGGCAATCTGCAAAGTCCTGCCTCCTGCTTCCTACCACAAATCATGAAGTTGATGGTGTTGCTGTACATACCTTTGTTTACTGCTGATACAATTTAAAAGTAAATAATTCTCAAAAACTTGCTAAGAGATGCTAAAATTGGATCAAGAGTGAGAAACAATCGAACTACACATCCAGAGTAAGTTTCCATATGTGTACCCCAGTCTTATTACAAGACTTGTGTGATTGTACAAAAATACCTGTCGGTAAACTGTCGTTCAAACCTTATTTATTTTAGATTTCATATTTTAATTGCTACTTTTAACCTGGAAAATTAATAATCTTACTTGATAACTGGTGCTAAAGGGCCAAATGTCTCCTCTTGGGTGCAAAGCATTTTTGTTGTAACATTACTAAGTAATGTTGGCTCAAAGAAATTCTTCCCCAAGCTGTGCCGTTTCCCTCCAGTCACAATAGATGCTCCTTGAGAAACTGCATCATTAATGTGTCTCTCTACCTGAGTATGCAAAACAGAAATCTCAAAGTCAGCATCTGGGAATGAACAACAGTGTATTTTCCACTGAAGAAATAATACTCTCTAGTATTAAAGATTTTGAGAAGTTTATACTTTGCAGAAGACCGTTTGCAGTATTATTCAAAATTTCACCTGAATTTTTATTTCTCTGAGTCTGACATAATTTCTGAGGGATAAATTATGAGCATGATCCTAGTTTCATAGATATTAAAGATTCAGCTTTTCACATTCACACTCTCACATTGTATACAATTTCAGTAAAAGTTCTTGAGAACAGCTAGGAAGTAATCAGGACGAATTAGTTTCTTCTAAAGGAGGAATCTTTTTTTCCCTTAATGGAAATAAGGGAGCAATACATTAAGTGGCCACATCTGTTTTGTCTACAGGTATATGCTCTCTTTTGGCTCACTTTTGGCTACACTGCAAATACATTCTAACAAAACAAGCATGAAAAAAGTGAAATATAAATCTCAAGTTACTTTACAGATCATAGAAAGGAAATTCAGATGTGAAAAATTAAATAATTTATACCTTCTCCACTGCTTTTTCATTAATTAAAGGCCCTTGGGTAGTATTTTCATCAAATCCACTTCCAACGTGTAGTTCTCTCTCTATGGCTTTAGCAAACTTTTCCACAAATTTGTCATGGATTCCCTTTTGCACCAGGAAACGGTTTGTGCAAACACAGGTCTGAAAGCAAACATGAGAAGGAAGAACAAACAGTAGTTTATATTGTATTTAATCTAACAATTAATTAATTCTGGCCTTCAAGCCACATCTTCAGGTTACTACAGTGGTCCGTCCTCTACCTCTTCTCCGTCATCCTAAACTGCTACTCAGCTTTGCAATTTCTTTCATCACCCCTCCCACTTTAGGAATACAACTTCAACAAGCTGTCAGCATGTGTGTGAAAATGTAAGTCACTTGAGATTTTGTGAGTTCTGCTCATGGATGAAACAAGTTCCAGAATCTGCAAGATTCTTCAAGTCTGCAAGACTCTAATTAGCAGTGCTGGACTGAGCAGCAGAACCTCAAATCACAGTTGGTGGGGTGGGATCTTTTTTTCTAACTCCTTCACTAATCAAGTTTTCTTTCTTCATGGAATTTGTTTCTAAAGTGTTTTCAGTGGCCTATTAATTTGTGCTACCACTCTGCTCTGACTGCATCCTGTTTTGGTTGCTACAGTCTCAAAAGTAACAACCACTTGATCCTTCTATACAGCAGCAGAGGTGTCTTTCATGTTAGATCTTATCAGTCTGTGTAATTAATTGTGGTCTAATTAATTTATTGCCAACAACAAAATGCTGACAAAATGCCTTATCACTTTTCACACTCTTGCAAGAGGTTCTAGAGATCTTCCTTCTTAGTGACAAAACTGACTGTCAGGCTTGCTGATAACTGGCTTGAGTGCTCAAAGCCATGTGTGACTCTTCATTGTGAAGCGTTCTATGCTTTCCCTTTACATAAAATAGCTTATTTACAGCTTAAACTGTAAGTACAACTCTTCACTTCCCATAGACAAGGGCAAAAAGATTAGTCTTACCTGCCCTGAGTTTCTATATTTGGAAGCAAGCGCTCCTGCAACAGCACGGTCTACACTGGCGCTGTCAAACACTATGAAGGGAGCATGTCCTCCAAGCTCCATGGAAACTCGCTTCACCGTGCCAGCTGCATGTTTCAGCAGTATCTGTAGGCAACAGAGGAGACACAGAAATCTGTACCTCTACCAGATGTGAACTGTGGAATCAAGAGATGAAAAGCAGTGAAAAACTAACTCTGGCAGGGAATTAATCTCCATCTTCTCTGTAATGCTAGACCATCTGTCTTTTCCTATGACAAAAACAAGGACTAATTGCCTTCATTAAAATCTTCAGAGATTGAATTCTGGCCAGGAAATACTGGAGAGAAGGATTTTCATCAACTTTAGTTCAAGTCAGCCTTTTGTACACTAGTATTGTCACTGTTGTCTTCTCATTCTTTTCTTTTTGGGCAATAAAAAAACTTGACTACTCTTACAAAATTCTTCCAAGATCTGACAGAACTTGGTGTTAAGATTTGCCTCGATACCAGACTTTTTCATTCTGCATACAGCCATCCCATACAATCCCACCATCTTATAGCCACACTCTACAGTTGTAAAGCTTATGTCATTAGAGATGGTGGTTATTGCTTTTTGACTAATGTTGACAGGCAAGATTCAAGGGCCTCACTTCTCTAATACTTCCTCTCAACTGCAGAAGTTGTTCCTGAACAATACCTTTGAAACTCTATTTCAGTGTTCTTATTAGTATGTTGTCACCCTATGATATGAAACAATAGCATCTTGTACAGAACTATTTATAATTTAATAAAGACAGTTATCCAGACCTTGCACACAGGCATCCTTCTGTGAAGTACTGATACTGAAGTAAATAGGCAGTATCTCAAGTACACAATTATTTGGACAATCTGTATACAACAGCCAGAAAAGAAGGCATCTCTGTATAAAGACATGCACTTCCCCCCCCAGCCTTCCCAGCACAACCACCATAATATTCTTCAAGGATATTGTGTGCACTTATGTACCTTTCCTGTTGCTGTAGAGCCGGTAAAAGATATTTTGGCTACCAATGGATCAGTGCACAGGACTTCCCCTACAGCTGGTGTCTGTTGTCTGGAACAAGGAACAACATTATACACTCCTGCTGGAATTCCAGCTTGGTTTGCAAGCTGCAACAAAAGAAATATAGAATTTGCATTATCAGTGCATTTTGCACAAGAAATAGTCACTAATGTATACCATTTCAAGCAAACCAGTCTGTAAGTCAATGAAAACTGTAAGTCCACAGCACAACAAGTAACAGATGCCACAGTGTCAAGAAAGCAGCCTCACTCCAGTTTAAGCTGGCTGTCAGAGTAACCAAAGATAGAAAGATGTTTTTCTTTGCTAAATGGCCAGGTCCTCTTTGAGCCTCTAGACCGTATTAGAGCAACTTTAAAAGATTCTTACTAAACTATATCTCTGGATCAAGCCAGCTTGCCCTTTCTTCACGTATGAAGCTGGCCAGAGGTATCTTCAAAGCCCGTCTTGACTCCCCATTTACAGCTTCAGTCCACTGCTAAGGTAAAGCTTAGCATAAAAGCTCACCTCCCCAAGAGCTAGTGCTGATAACGGTGTGTCCTCTGCAGGTTTCACTACCACTGTACAACCAGCTGCCAGAGCTGCACCAACCTTCCGGGTAATCATAGCGCTGGGGAAATTCCACTAGGATGAGAGAAAAAAGTACAATCAAACTTGGGAAAATTTTGCCTCTGTTTTTGCAGAAATAACTAACCTTTCTATAATCCAGCAGATGTGCATTGTCCTAAGTGAACATTACAGAGAAGTACTGCCAATCCAGGAAGAAGCAAGTACAGGGCAGAAATGAAACCTAACAGGATTGTTTGTGAGGACTGGAAGAGCCATCAGTCAGGCCACAGCCCCATTCTGTGGGCTGTGCTTAAAACCTTCCCATGATTTCAAAACGCCAGCTATGCTTACTGGGGTTATGATGGCTGCCACTCCTACAGGCTGCTTCAGCACCAGGATTCTTCTGTCTTTTGCAGACGCTGGAATGATATCACCATAAACCCGGCGAGCTTCCTCCGCAAACCACTCCAGAAATGAGGCAGAATACAGGATTTCACCCTGTGCTTCCTTCAGAGGCTTCCCCTTTGATTAGATCAAAGAAACACTGTAAGCAGCAGACTGAAGTCATACAAACAAATTCAAGTCAACTGAATCTGAAATCAGTTTCTGTTTTCAGAGTACTTTATAATCCCCTATCATGTACACTGCAATCTCCAAAAAGGACTATATGATTGCAGCAGTAGTAATTGTGTGGCTTCAATCCAGTCATTGTAGAGATAACATTTTGTATGCTGTGCCTGGATTCTGCACCAGCTACCAAGGAAAAAACTGACTGCTACGGCTGAACCCAGCACACCTGCCCAAGACAGGGAGGTAGAATAGCAAATGTTGCATGTCTTTTATTACAAGCTTAGCAGTTAGCTGCTACTATCAATCCTAGGAAGATGAAGATCATGGCACAACAATTACAGGTTTATGCCAGGGGTATTTGTTTTAGGGAGTATTACTTTGGACTACCTCCAGGTCTGATCCTGTGGACTGAATGCCCATTTGCAGCTGGGACACCACAGAGGAGCTGCCCAAGTATCTCCCACCATGGTTTTACCCAAAAGTCTACCAATTGGTGAACTCCCAGACTGCTCTGCTCTGCAATGCAAACCAAACCACACCGAGTGAATTCAATTTGAAGACTTGCTTTAATAATACTGCAATTTTTCAAAGTCAAGGAAACTGAAAAAGCACAACCATTTCTGCCATGAACACTATGGTTTAGGTTGATGTATGCTTTTCTATACCATGAAGCAAAACATGGGGCTGATTCCTGCTGGATTGTTAGGTACTATTGTAATCGAAATAAGAGACTGTATGTGTGTCAGAAACGTTTGAAACAGTATCCATTGACCTAACCGAGTGATGTGAATGCACACAATGTGTCTGATAGGCTCAACTTGGCCACCTGAGGGTGGCTAACCGATGAAACACATACAGGGTGTTTTGACGTCTGCCTGTTTTGTTTTACTTCAGTGTTAGCATCAGTTTACTTTATTTCAGTGCCGGCACCCCTGCGTTTCGTTTCCTGGGAGGCTGAATGCGAGCACGGCGCAGCGCCCACGGCCGGTCAGAGGGGCAGCCGGCCCTGCAGCCCTACTCACGTTCTCGGCCGTGATGATCCTCGCCAGCTCGTCCTTGTTCTCTATCATCAGCTCGTACCATCTGCGGAGGCGCACGCTCCTCTCCTGGGGAGACAGAAGGCTGCCGTGGCTGCCGCCCGCAGGGACGAGCTTCTCCGAGGGGGAAGCGAAGCCCCGGGCAACCCCTGGGACATGGGACAGACCCACAGACCGCCGGAGAACGGGTGGCCCCCGCTGCCCCGGACTTCCCGCTGCGGCCGCCTCCCGCCCCGGGCGGCGCTGGGAGCCGCGCTCTGCCCGGAGCCCCCTCGCTGCCCCGGCGCACGCCATGTTCCGCGCCCGCTCACCTTGGCGGGGAGGCGGCCCCAGGCGGCGCCGGCATCGTGCGCGGCCCGCACGGCCTCCCGCGCCTCGGCCGCCCCGCAGTCGGCCACTCGGCCCAACTCCTCACCGCTGGCCGGGTCCTGCACGGGGAAAACAGTGGGCGCCTCCACCCATCGGCCGCCCACCAGGCCGCCCCAGCGCACCAGCGAGGCGGGCAGCGCCCAGCTGTTGTGTCGCCGAGCTGCCGCCAGGCCTGGGGGCCGCGGGGGCAGGGAGAGGAGGAAGCGGCGGGTGGCGGCAGCCCGCCGTTGCAGTAGGCTCGCCATGGCCGCGCACCGGCGACAGGCGGCGGGCCCCGGGCCCAGCCCGCCCTCTCCGCCCCGGAGGAGGAGCTGCGGAGGAGCCGAGCCAGATGCGGCAGCTCGGCGGGGCGCAGCTGCAGGCGGAGTAGGAGGAGAGGGTGGCGTTTGCTCTGGTGTTGGGAGTGGTGGGGGCATGGCAGTTGGGAGTTTCTGCTTCCTGGAGCCCGCTTACTCTTAACCCCATCGAGACCCTATCCAGACGGAGAGGGGGAAATAGTGCTTGATGGCTTAAACGTAGGCGCACCGGCCTGCAGGAGGCTGTGGTCGTAGTGGGCCAGTGGCCCTCGTCTCCATCGGGCGGGTCCCATGGTGGCATTGGTCAGTCTGGCACGAAGGCTGTATGACGGCCCTGCCCGGTGCCACCATGTTGCTGGGGACCGGTGGGGCTGTGCCACATGTGCCAGCCGTGCCCTGGCATGGTGACAGGGTCAGGTCTGCGGGGGCGCGGAGCTGCAGCACACCCAGCCTTTGCAGTCACATAAAAGTTAATGGCAATGCCTGTGGCAGGAGTGCTGCCATTATTTCCATCATCAGCTGGGGTTTCTGTCTGGATATGACCCAAGCATATGTGTGCAATGTGCTGTCAGCTCACCAAACTTAGGACTTTGTGTTGCCTACAACTTGGGAGCTAGTGTGTTTCTACTAATGCTCCTTTGGCAATTGGCTTTTAAGTTTTCGTGAAATCTGACACGCTTGTCACACTTGTTGTAAGGCAAGTGCACCATGAACTGGGCAAAGTGGGAGGATGCTCTTTGCCGTGCTTTGAATGTTAACAGAAACCTCACTTCTCATGTGCAGTGACGGCAGTTATGCTGCCCAAATTGCACAGGTGGGAGCACACCTATAGATTACTTATTTATATATATATATATAAATTATTTAATTTGAGGTAAAGAAAAGCATTGGTCTAAAATAGCCTTTCAAATACAACATTTACTTGCTGTGTCAGCAATATATCTGAAAGAAAAGGCATGCTCCATAACCCACATTTCAAAGGTCACAGCGCTACTTCTGCAGGCTTCTGAAAAAATTGCAGTTTGAGCTAGCATCATGGGTGGTTTGAAGATTTGGTCTCTTCTGCTGGTTATACTATGCCATTTCTGTCAAAGATGTCTCCCGAGTGGAATTTCAACACACGTTGAAATAGGTAAGATATTCAGAACAGATTTCCATGTGTTTTTGTTTGTTTCTTAGGAAGAAGTAAATCCTGATTTGACTGGAAAGCAAAGGGAGGAAATAATGTTAAAGTAATGAGCATTATATATATATATTATTAAAAAGTGAATTATACATAGAATAGATGAGTAGTTTGGTTTTGGAGTTCAAAACTTTGCTGGTTTTATAAGCAAAATGCTTGAATCGGTGTGGTTGCGTACTTTTCCGTCTTCTAAAACACAGGCATTATGTAACTGGAATGTTTGTGAGTCGTAGGCAGACAGGGTTTGGTTTGGATAAAGAAGAGGAACAGTTTACACAGTTCATGGGATTGTTATATTTAAACTAGAGAACAACAGAGACCATTTGTGGCAGCTCTGTTTTCAAATCACCGTGTACTAATTTTGCCATGCCTGCATGAAATAGATCAAATGCTGTAATGTGTTTGTATCTATGGTTAACATAATAAAAACTGTTCTGTATCTCTTCCTGGTAGGTTGCTATCTGTAGCCTGAACAGCCTAGATTTATAGAGAATGAAGGAAAGAACTGAAGGAACATCAAAGAGGGGGGAATATTCCTGGTTTGAATTTCTTGTTTGCATATGTTACTTTTAATACCTGATTTCTGCTGTAGTTCTTGCAAGAGCACTCTTGAGTAGTGTGAGGTTATTCTGAAATATTTACTCATAATGAATTGACTGTTTTAATTGTTTGCTCTTCTGTTTCTGATTCTAAATCCATTGCTCAACAAACAGAGTAAGACGTATGACAGATGGTAAAATGTATGGTGTTGTCTCTATTGAGGTAATCTTCTCAGACTTTAAATACTAAATGCATGCAACTTTGAACAAATTAAAGGCTGGGATTATTCATAGCATTCATTTGAGACTATGTTCCCTTACTAAGTGTTGTACCCTTGGTCAGTATTCTGCAACCATTTGCTTTTCCAGACAATATCAAGAAACCCATAGGAGAAATTATGGTGCCTGAGGTTAAGCAAGCACAAGCATCTTTGCAATGTTGGGGCTGTAATTACTGAGTACGGGCTTCTGAAACCTTGGAATAACAGATTTGGAAGAATGGAGTGTATCTGCAAGAAAGCTATAAAGAGAAACAAGAGCTTATGGCTCTCTTCCAAAGCAGTAAAATTTTTTCTACTCAAGGAAGCATATTGCAGGAAACCTGCATTTATATGATTTAAAGATCTTGGTGCCTGAGGAGTAGTGTACGCTGAACTATTGGTCATAGTTTACAACCAATTTTGTTCATTTGTCAGAAAATAACATTAAACTGGAATCAGCTCTGATGCTGCTGCAGTCAGTGCCTTAATTAATGTGCAAATAAAAGTCCATGATGGTAAGATGCTGAAAGTTACTGCCAAATCCAAACAGTGAGTATTCCAAGAAAGAAAAACCACAACAAACTGTAGAAAGGAACTCCTCCGACTCAAAACCAGCACTGAAATCTATCGGGGACAGGCTCCTGAAAGTACTTTCAAAAATGGTTAAAAACTGCCTGATCAAAATGTGGATCATGTTCAGTGTACTCAGCAGAGCTGTGCCATGTCCTACTTGGCCATGGCCTTGTGGCTGAGGGCAGGTCTGAGTGGGGAGGCTCCTCCTCCCCAGGGGCTCCTATCAGACCTGCTCCATGGAACTGTGGGGATCCATCATAATATTCAATGTAAATATGAACTTGCAGGACATGGGCCCACTTGAGTAATGAGAGAAGTCGGGGGGGAGGACGGAGGAATGTGAGACACAAAAAGCAAACTGCCAAACTGAGACTCTCCCAGACTGGAAACAGAGATGTGTGTTGAAATGGCTGAGCAGAAAAATGATGACTTTTTTATTATTATTTTTAAGTTGTTCCTGTTTTGGTGCAAGATTGGTCCTTAAGGTATCTTAACATATTTGAGTAAGGATGGTTTAGATTGTTGGGTAAAATTCAAAGTGAAAGAACATTCAAACCCACACAGTTTTGTATAGATCTTATTCCAGAATGAGAGTGGGTTTGGGGATTTTTTTATTTTTGGTGATTTATTTGGTAAGGATCAAATTAAATTCAGCATATTCTGGCTTATCTTGAGCAGTCTTAGTTTGTAAATAGCTTCAAGTGAGAAGTAAAACTTTGTGTGGGAAGGCAAGATGATAACCCATGTGTACAGTTTCAACTGAATAATTTTAGTGGCAATGTTGGGTATTTTTACAGGAGTGTAAGTAGATTATCTCTGGGATCTAACATTGTTAGAAGGAGACTTTGTGAAATTCATGTCAGTTTGCTTCATACTCGTGTTATACTTAATAAATATTTTTTCAGCAAGAATGTCTGGATATTCAGTGAATAGATAGTATTATTTACCTTGCTGACTTTAGGTTTTTGTTGGTTTTCATACATGTTAAAAATTAATCAAGCTGTTAAAACATCTGCATTGATTCCTGAGGTACATCTTTCTATGTTAAGGGCAGCAATGAAACTTAAATACAATTCACATGAGTCCTTTATAGCTAGGACTCTGTTTCATACTCTATAGGTGTCATCATGCAGTTCACTGTGGTAGCTCAGTTCTGGATGTGGAGTGTCTTTTCCCTGCAAAACGTTCTAGTGTGAGGCATCCCTGCCCATGGCAGGGGAGTTGGAAGTAGATGATCTTAAGGTCCTTTCCAACCTAAACCTTCCTGTGATTCTATGATTTCAGCTTTGTTGGTCAGCTTGGGAGCTGGGGATTCGAGAGACTGATGAGACCTCAGTGCCTAGATGTGCCATAGAAACAGCATTTCCTTATTATCTCAGTAGATGAGAAAGGACGCCCTCTCACAAGTACAGAGTTTTTTGAGAAATCATGTTTTATGCACCTTTGTGACTTGGCTTAGGTATAACAATGCAGTTATTCTGGTTTTGATAATGCTTCTAACAAAACCCAGGCCTGGCCACAGTAAATCAATACTTCAATATGTTGTTTTTCAGCACATAGAGCTCTGGAATTTTTCATTAAACACGAAAGGAATGTTAATTATAGACAGGTAGGAAGGATATTATTGCTTAATTGTGTATACCTTTCTTGTGAATGTTTCTTGGTCTGTCTTCTTGCCTTTCATAACTTTATTGTATATTCTCAGTAATATGTGTGTAAAAGTTGTGCCTGGGCTGTATTTTTATCTTTTTTGTTGAACATTAAGTGACTCCTAAATACTATTGCAAATATGTAGCAATTATAACAATGCTTTCTTGCATGTTTTCCTGTCTTCTGAAGTCAAACCCCCCATGAGTAGCTGTATTTGAAGAATTGGTAGAGGACTTTTGGAAAGGCGATTTAATAAACATAAAGTCAGGAAAATGACAGCAAGGTTCGAATGTTGTCCACCACATATATAATTCACTGATTTCTGATTGGTGCAAATAGCTTTTTCTTTCGTGGCCGTACTAAGCAGAGGACTACAGGCATGTGGGCAGTTTTCATAAACACATATACAAAATGCAAATATGTTTTATGTTTAAAACATTTTTAATATATCTTAGAACAATGTAAAGAAGACCACTTTAGATAACTCAGTGTTTCATCAAAGTAGGAGATCACTCAAAGTGAGTATTCACACTGTCCACTGTAGACAGCTGCGCTGTGAGTCAAAGGATGGGACTTAGCCGCCCAGGCTTTTTATCTAGTCCAGGAGGAGGAGAGCGCCTTCAGAAGGTGACTTCACCAGCATCTATGTTAGAGTGTATGAATACTTTCCTAAATGGCCTTTAAAATTAGTGTATACTGATTAGCTTAGATTCTTTTACGGGGGGGGGGGAGAGAATGTTGCAGGATGATGATGACACTGAAATAACATTTACCAAGATAATAGTTGTATCTTGCAGTATTTTATCTTAGATATTGGCAGTAAACTCTGTTTTTGTTCTCTGCAGTAGCATTCTGATTCCTTTTTCCCCCATGCTTTTCCCAGTTATTACTAAACCACCAAGATGCATTTCAGGCTGGGAGCATTTATCCTGATGCCTTTTATCCTTCAATCTGCAAAAGTGGTAAGAAAAATCCCATATTGTAACAACTGTATTTTTATGTGAAAATCTTATTGAATTTAGTAGGGTTAAAAATAGTTGTGTTGTAAGAAATGAAGTAAGGCAAAAAAAAAACCTTCCTGCAAAAACATCCAGTACTTGTGTTAGTATTTGGAGCCTTTTTGTAGAACTTTGTAAGAAACTAATACGTTTGAAAATGTTTTTAGAACTTTTAGTAACTTTTGAGTAAATGTAACTAACAGGTAGGGGATTTTGATAGAAGGATGCTGTTTGACTGAATTAGGTCAGATTACTGAGTACTGTCTTGGGGAGAAACTGAGAGGATAAAAATCTCTTTTTTCTAAGTCTAGGAGAAAGCCTAGAGCTGATTTCTCTACTAGGAAGTATTTGTTCCTATCAAATCAGTCACAAAGATGATAGGAGGATATAAAAAAAAAAGCCCCAAAATGAAATAGCATAGGGCTTGCTGGTCAGGGAATGTTAGTAACATCCCAGTTTAAAGCCTTTCTTTTCCGGACTGCTGTCTTCTGCCTTTTACTGATTCCTGTTTGCAATTAATATCAATCTTAGTTTTGCTGCTTCTAGATCTAAAGAGTGCACTACAAATTTAGCGGTCTGTAGCAATGGCTGTAAAAAGGATGTCTTGACTTGCAGGTGGTCCCCTCATTTTTCAGCTTTTGTAGGTCAGCTCTTGATCATAATCAGCTTCTCCAGCAGCTCTGGAGCTATAAAACAGCTAGCTAGGTCTTGCTTCAGGATATTTGCTACTGAAGTGGTAAATCAGGGTAATGAGCAATTAGCAAATGGGACAAAGACAGCCTGTCCTCCAGCAACAAGGTATTAGGATATTTAGGCAGATACCAGAGACAAGGCAATGGTACATAGTTTGTATGAGGATACTTGGAGTCTAAAGTGCAGGAGGTGGTTTATTTTAGTGGGTCATGCAAATTCAGATCTATTAAATTCGAAGTGTTCTTAGAATCTTTGGTTTGCTTCATCTTTTATATGTTTTACTGCTGAGTGCCAGTGCCTCCGCTTATCTCGGTATTGTTTTTCTCTGCCTCAAACTATGAAATCCTGTGTTCTTCCAAATAAACTTTCCCCATCTTTTCTCATTGCCTGCTTTTCTTGGAGTCTCAAAATCCCACAGTGGCAGCTAGATTTCTCGTAGTTTTTTGGTCCTAGGTGTTGATGCTGGCTGTTGTTTATGCCAACTATAGGCTGCTTTATTTATGTCCTGATAGGCAAGTTTGCCCATTCAGGTTGCTGAACGGGGGATCCTCTCTGCTAATATGTCGTGGTGCTTAGTTCACATCCGCATTGCCCCTCTGCTCTGGCATTTAATGCTGGTTTGGTCTCCCGTCACTCATCAGGTCACTGTTCCTGATCTTCTGCCTGGCTCTGCTAACATCTTGTCACAAAGTTCTGACTCGCTTGCCTTGTTTTCAGGATAGATGTTCTCCTGGGATTTCTTAAATTCCTGCCTTAACTTGGTTACTTTTATCTACCTCATCTTTCCCTTGTAACAGTTGGCTTCTGCCTTATACCAGGCCAGAAATCAGAGCAGCTTCCAAACTGCATTCCTTCACCTAAGCTGGGATATGTCTTGCCTTGTTTTACACTTGCACCACTTACCAGCAGTCTCCTTAGTCAATGTGGAAGAAATAGGTACCTCTGCAGATCTGAGCTGCCTCTAGATCAAGAGCAAAGTCATCCAGACTAGCTTTCCAGGTGTGAGATAAGCTTAGATGTAGAAGTCTGCTCTATCAACACTGAATTTTTATCTAGCAAATCCCATCCCTATGTCACCTAGTTCAGCTGCACTGTAAAATGTCAAGAAGCCAGGAGGTAACTGAATCAACCACAAGATCTTCTCTCTCAGTTTCAGCTTTTAATATACCTTAATCTTCTGCAGTTTCACAGTTCTGTGTGAGCAAACATATACTTGTCCTCATAGTGTATTGATGATCCAAACAATTAACCTCCTGCCTACCACCTTCCCCCTTAGAGAGTTTAATAGTGTGTGTGCTTCTTGGTCTTGTCACATCAGCACCACTTTGCAGTTTATGTAGGTAATTTAAGTGCAGTTTGTAAGTAATTAGCTTTTATGTAGGTACACAGAAATTTTTAGGCAATGTCACTGTTAGATCCTACATAATCTCCTCTGCAGAAATCCAAGTGAGAGTAATAATTGATGCTTCAGAGGAAAACCTGATTTTTCCTGCTTTCCTTTGGACTCTTTCTGCTCCTGCATTGACTATATCTTATCAAGTTTGTCTTTCTGTTAAAAATAATGGTGATGACATAGCCCTCTTTGGCCCTGTGGAAACTGATACCTGTCCCAAAGCTTCAGTTGTCTGCACTGAGTATTTTGAGTTGTCTGCATTGACCATCAGTTTTTCTGCCAAGCAATTTGATGCATTCATTTAGTCAGCAGCTTCTCTGTTAGCTCTCCTTATCCTGTTCACTTGGAAGGCAGTTTTTCATTGTACTGTACCTACTTACAGGCACAGAGAAAGGGAGCAGGGAAAAAATTGTCAGGTGCTTCAAACCCTTAGAAGGTAAATCTAGTATCTCTTTTGACAATATAAATCATATAAAAATACATCTCATTTGGCTTTTCTCATATAAGCGGATTTCAAAATGTATCATCTCTACATATGAAATTGAACAAAAGTTTTTCGTTTTGTTTTGGGTGGTTTTTTTTTTCCCCATGAAGAAAACAAGTTGTTTTTTTTTTAACTCCTCTTTTTCTTTTGCTCTGCTCCTCCTATCCGCCTTTTCTCCCCCCCCCCCCCCCCAAGATTAAATTAAATACTCTATAATTTTATTGCAACAGGAATATTCCATGATGTGTCTGAAGACACTCACTGGACACCATTTCTCAATGCAAGTATTCACTACATCAGAAGGAATTATCCTCAGCCTTGGGAAGTGGTAAGAAAATTTCATTAACTTTTAACATTGCATTCTGCTGTTTTCTTCACCTTCACTTGTTGTTGCAATTTTGTCTTTTGGAAAGTGTAGGAAAAATACATAGTTTTAAATTAAAGTGTCTGCTGATACAGGAAAATTCGAAATCCTGTTTTCATCTTTACCAGACATAAACATTGTGGTTTCCATATGAAGTCTGTCAGTTACCTCTAGTGTGGTCTGGTGCTTGTGATACATTTCTCAGGTCCAAATTTTGTCCAAATGTGATTGGTAGTTTTGCATTATTGTCAGATCTGGTTGAGTGACTGCAACTTGGAAACCAGGTGTCTTCTAGAATTCTCACTTGAGAAATCTTCAATTTAGTCCTGATTTGCTCGTTTACGGTATATGAGCTACATACAAGGAGAACAGATGAGCTTTAAGGTCTCTTCGAACCCAAACTATTCTATGATTCGGGCAGATACTTTTATGAACAGGTCTTGCACCGGAATGGCTGTCTCTACCCTGTGTGCCTGCACAACCCTCATGGTTACAGAGGGGTTCACTCCTTTGAAGTGGAACTGTTTGTCCCCAGTCCAGAGAAACACCTTAGTGCACATCTAACCTGTGGTACACAAATTTTCCCCAACATCAACCATGTAATTCTGGCCTTGGACTGTCTAAAATGCTTAAAGTTTCTCAAGTCACAAAAAGTGACTCCAACAATAAGGAATGAGTGGACAACATTTTGTCATGCTGAGTTCTTGGATCGCAAGAATTTCTCACCTATATCCTTTTATAATGCACTTACATAAAGCGCTTACCTCTTCTTGAAGACAGGACTAAAATTGCTGACATTACTACAAGTGGATTGTTGTTGTGTAGGCTACAGAGAAGCTGGTGGCTTTCTTGTTTGGAATTGCCTCACATATGGTGGCAGACGTTAGCTGGCATAGCCTGGGCATCGACCAAGGATTTCTAAAAGCCATGGGAGAAGTAAGCCTGTGTTATTTTATTTGTTGATATAACTGAATTTATTGGAGTTGATAGCTTAGCTTTGGACTCTGGTGGGGAGGAAAAAGAAAAGCTTGGAGCCCTGTTTTGGGAAGATTTTCAAAGAGATGTAATGTCACAAGCTCCATCAAAACAAAGTTGGTCAGGTTTGGGATCTGTAAACGTCAGAGCTGCTGAAGAGTTTGTTTCAGCTCATATGTTTGTATGGAAGGATGTGTAAAACGGGCAGTTCTCTTGTTTTTCTCCTTCTACAGATTGATTTTCATGGCTCATACTCAGAAGCTCACAATGTTGGTGATTTTGGTAATGTTTCTGTTTGCTGATTGTATGTTCTTCTATTGGAATAACTAGTCTTCTTCAAAGTCACAGTGTGTGATTGTGGCACTTGCCCTGTCTTGATGCAGAAGCCAAGAATGAGTCAAATGGACACTGTGTTCTCACTCTCCCCCATAGCCCTCAAAGCCCTGCTGTAATTGGTCTCATGCTCCATGTTTCAAGAGATGTAATAGGGCATATGGAGACTTGCATTAAAGCCAAAACACAGGCTAAAGGATGCTAAAGTTTAAATGGAGTCACTACTGTGATTCCAAATTTTACATTTTTCTTATCCTCTGGCAGTATAATATATACAGCATGTGTTCAGGTAAACCATTTATGTATTCTAAATGTTTAGCTGAAGGATCTGTCATACATGCATAGATAGCATAACCATATGTAGCTTCGTTGCCTCTATTATCTGTGGTAGATACTTCACGAGTTCGGTTTGTTGTTTTTTGTGTTTTTTTTTCATTCTTCCATTCACAGGAGGAGATGTACTGAGTCAGTTTGAGCTGGACTTCAGTTACCTGGCATTGAATTGGTAAGATAGTGAGGTTACCTTCTTTAATAATTATTTCTGCTTACTCTGCACACTCACTGTGCATTTTAACAAAATGCTGTCCTTTATCTTTCTTTCCAAAAAAACCCTTGTGGCTATTGGAATTTTTCTGAGTTTGGTTGTTTCTTATATTCATATTTACTGTTCCCTGACATGAAAAACTGCAAGGACAGAAGAAAAAAGAGATTTACTTGGAGGAACACTGCAAGAAAGATTAAATTATTTCTCTCTGAAGGAAATCACAAGTAATTATGTGTAAAATAACAAGTGAAAAATGTTTCTGGAATGTCCTAGCAATTAGTTAAATAAATCTCACATTTCTATTTAAATTTTTGGAAGTTGAGGATGCTCATGGTTATAAACGCTGTGGAATTCAGACAGGTTTAAGAGTGTAAAAAGAAGCAGCAGGTTTAGATGTACACATTTTTTTTCTCAGTTTTTAACTGAAATAAAAACTCACATGCTTTTTTTTTCTGCTGATAAAATAGGTCATTTGAGTAATTATGCTTAAGTAGGATGTAGTTCATGTAGGTGCAGAAGGAGCAGCTGGGGGAAATGTCTGTTTGGCTAGGAGTAAGTTTCGTACAGCAGAAGTTTGGAGGATATCCCCCATGATTATGTGATCACCAAGCCAGGAACCAGTGTGGGAATTGTGAAAACTTTACAAGCAGTAGTTGCAGGGAAAGAGTTCTACAGGTTTCTGATTTTGAACTAAACAAGAGGAGAGTGTTGTGCAGCGAATAACTGCACCCATAATCCTGCTCTTTCTGGCATTTGTAAGGGTTCATGAACTTCTATAGTCTTTTGAAATTTAGAATATTTTAATACAGGCTATTGCTATTACACAAGCTTTAATCTTTTATCAGGTGATGTGCAAAATCTCCTGTTATAATACATTCATCTTGGTTTTAGGTATGTACCTGTCAAAGACCTAGCAGCTATCTATAAGGAATTTTATGGAAGAGAGATTATAACTGAAAGCACAATTATTGACTGTACTTACCTGCTGTTTCTTGAACTGTAAGTTGAATAGCTTTGTCTGGGTTTTCATAAGTGAAACATACATAGGAAAATTATGCTAATCTCATTTGAAATGCCTTGTGCATTGAGGCCAGCAATGTAAACTACCTGCTAGACCCTCAAATCACAAAGCGCCTGAATTTTTTTAATAGCTCGAATACACTTTTGGACTGCATAGTGGCTGTTAAATTCATTAGTACACCACAGGTTCAGCATCTTAGTTCTTCAGTGCATTTATGTAGTTAACATACTTACGCCTATTTATTTGAGAGCAGCTGTGTCTTCAACATGCCTCGTGCCATGTTGCAATGTAATATGCATGTACTGAAGGAGTAATGTACATACCTAAATAAATGGCTTACCTACACTTTATGTGGATCCTTTCAAGTCCAAGAATAAGTCAAAAGAGCTTTTTGATATCTGGCAATGTCTACTTTTGAATATCCTATACAGCTTAACTGTATTATTTATTTCAGTTAATTACCAAGTCATGCAGCATTTATAAACACTCTGAATCCCTTCAAATCAAGGGGAGCAATAAAGTTAATATCATTACTCCTCACATTACAGCTTCTAAAAACATGTTAACAACCAACAAGGAAATGTAATGACTTGTGTAGTATTTACCATACAGAAGCCTTAAAAAGAACTGTTGAAATAATTAAATATTAAATGAAGCAATTTTTTTTCTAAAGATTATATTTTTATTTTTTTTAGGCATGGAGAAAGGCTTGTTGTTGGGAAGGTTTGTTTTCCATTTTCTTTATAAAAACGAAGATATATCAAGAAGACCGTGTAATCCATCTTACTAAGAGTGTTGCTTGCTTCTTAGCTTTTTCCAACATATGCTAGTAAATCTCCATTTCTGGTGGAGAAGTTCCATGAGTATTTCCTTGGAGGAGTGGATGACATGGCGTTCTGGACAAACAATATTTTTGAGCTGACGAGCCATATGCTAGAGAATGGAACCAGGTATAGCATGTTTCCTGCAATATGAAACACAGTAACCAGGTTCTGACACCCATTTAATTGTTCTTCTGAAGGCAGGCTCTTTCGTAGAAATGGTGCTGAGCTTTAAATCCTTCCTTGGACTAAGGGATTTCTGTGGCTGTCTTTTACCCTTGTGCGTGGGATTACACAGGCCTTGAGTTTGCATTTGTTACATGTTCACACTTACTTTCTCCAGGGAAGGCTCTGGTATGCCCAGCTGATACGCAATAGGGAAAAATTGGAGCATTTTTTGAGAGATACTCAAAGGCTTGCTTAAACTTTGCATAGCCATGTCCTGAGGTTCTGCCTGGCAGTCTGAGCTGTGGCTGTGGCTGCACTTTCTGACTGCTGTCATCAGCCAGTGAAGATGCCTTCAGACACTTAAGGATGATAAGATCAGAAAGAGTAAGAGTATACATGTTGTAGTGTTGGAAGCTCAGGCTTGGACTCAGAATATCATATTTTTATAGAAGTTCTAACCTTGTACTGCTGTGTTACAAGTGTAATCTTACTGTAAATAACTTTATGAGACCAACAGTGGCAATTAATCCATGCATTTATATGGAAAATATCACTGCATCTATTTTGGGAAATGATGCTTGAAATACAGTATGGCATAATCTGTTGTGTTCTTTGTTCTAGAATGGCACTTTCATTAAAAGTGCTTTAATATAATTAGCATAACATATTACAGTGTTTCCTTTAAGAGTTATATAAAGATGTGAAACTCATACTGAACTTTATCAAGATCATTAAAATAAATATCAAAGGGTTTTGTAAAGATTATAATGATCTGATTTTGAATAAGCAGGTTTTCTTGAGAAAACTAATGACTTCTAACAGAGGAATCAGTAAGGATGAAAGTTGTATTTTTAGTTTTTCACTTCCATTGCGGGAAAAGCTTTACAATGCATTCTGCGTATTTCTTTAGTGACTGCTTCCTGCCTGAGAACCCCCTGTTTATAAACTGCACAAGTGAGCACAAGGACAACTACATGTAAGTATAGTTCTGAAGGTTCAAAGATTTACTGATGATAGGAGAGTCTTCTGCTAATATGGACAGTGTACTATTGAAAATTAGAGATCTTTTATCTTTTTGTGTGAATTTGAGATTCTTCTAACATAAATAAGTTTCGTATAGGGAAACTGTGCAGAATCTAGGAAAGGCTTTCACTTTTCAGCCCAAGAATACTTATCTAGCGCTTGAAATACTAGGTCTTCACACTTTATTTTGTTGTCGCTATTTGTTATGCTAATTGTGAACCTACTGATTCATATTTACCCTTACCATAGCTAAATTCTCTCCTGATTTATATACAGAAATAATGGAACTCAGGTGTTTGTAGCTGAGGATACAAGTGTATGTATTCCTCTAGCAGACATCTCAAAAGAAACTAGCTTAACTGGTATGTCTTGAAAATTCCATTTATACATGGGAGGAAAGGACAGCTGATTGCATGCAATATGTTCAATTCTTCTAGCTTTCTCGTAAAATACTCAAGTTGTTAATTCAGTTATATTAATTGTTATATTACTGCCTTCTTTATTTTAGCAGAAACAAACAATCAAAACATGAACAACAGAAGAATAGAACTTCCTTGCTTACAGAAAGACATGAAAAGAATATAAGTTATACAGAGAGAGGAGTTCACTTCAGTATACAACCTTGGGTAAAAGTAAGTGAGAAGTGACAGACACGAGAGGTAAAATTCAGCTCTTTGTAGAATTGCTTTAATTTCTGTCTGAAATGCTGTGTAATGGAGCAAGGTGGATGTTAACAATAGCCTCTGGCTTCACTTCATGGAGACTCCAGCGCCATATATTTATATGTACATTGTAAATATTCAGTTTTTACACTTTGCTCATTGTATAGTGAGATTAGATTCACACTTTAGTATTTACACTTTAAAGGATCATACAATCACTTTTTGGGGTTGAGAAGTCCCAGAAAAGCACAGCAGTGAATAATTAGCAGTGATCCATTTAGAGCATATATATTTTTCTGTTTCTAAAATGTTTGTGACTCGAATCAGATTCCACTTAGATCGACATGGTGATTTCTACCATTGTTGACTTGTTTTTTGAGGGGCTCCATAATGTTGTAGAGTTTCAGCCTGTGCTTTAACCATTCTTGTGTCTTTTTATTGTTTTTATTTCAGAATTCCTTCCACTTGCTAAACCATGCTTTTAGAACTGATGTCTGGAGAGCTACACATCAGAAGTCTTCTAACCACATCTACAAGCCAGCAGCTTCATATTTTCTGACCTCACCCTATGCTAGACTTGGATGGTTGGTAATCTTTTTCCTCCTACTTCCCTCTTAATTTCTGAAAATTTTGAGTATCCTCGAAAATATTAATGTTTATTTTTTGGATACTCTTTAAAGGTGATTGTCCAAGTCAGTTAGCATACAAATCCGGCTGAATGGCTTACATCATCTGTCCAGAACAAGATAACCTATAAAACCTTTCTTTCAGATGTTAACATAAATTTCTTGTGTTGGTATTGAATAAAACTGTATCAAGAGCAAAATTCCCGTTCAGATATGAATTCCAGTCAGATAACCTTTTTCTTTGGAAGGGTTGTCTTTTCATAGTTTTTTACGTTCCCTCCTTAGCGAAGGAGCTCAATGCTCTGTGTGTGATCAAGCTCGGAATGGAAGGAACCAAAATTGGAACCAGGCCTGCCTCTACTTCTGAACAGTATAGGGACATTTTTAGCCCTTTTTGGTTGTGGGTTGATGTTTGTGCAGAGTTAATTGCCTGCTCTGAATTGATCACTGATGGTGCCTAGCGAGTTTTTTTGGAAACAGGGGACTAGCGGGGAGTTCAAAGGTATATTCAGGACACAGAAAAAGGGGTGTTCTGTCACTTTGACAGAGGGTTTCTGGCTTGATCTGCAGAAAGGAAGAATAATAAAATAAACTTGCATTGCTACTCATCTTGGTTTATTTCTTCTGACTCAAAAGTTGAAGATTTAATTCTTGAGCTTACTTCACACCATCCAAAGTAACAGTTAGTTATTTTCTCTCCACATTCCCTCTCCAAGCTCCAACATGTTACTGAAACCTGTGATCCCTTTGCTTTTCTACTCTTAATTCCATGAGTTAAATCAGAAGTTCAGTTAAAAAGATATTTAATTTCATCTTTTCTATTCTGTGTCGTATTCAAGCAGCCCTTTTCTGTGCTCCTTGCTCTGATTCCTTTCAGGTGCCTTGTGTCAGTGAGTAAAAAGCAGTTCCTACAGATCTCAGAGGCATTAATTTCATATATATAGTATAAAAAATACAAAACCCAAGTCTACTAAGAAGTAGATGTTTTTTTTTTCTGCTAATGTTGTGGTAGTCTGGAAGCTAATGCTATGCTTTTGTTGACTCCCTTGCTGTACAGGGCAATGATTTCAGCTGACCTGAACCAGGATGGATATGAAGATCTGGTGGTTGGAGCCCCAGGGTACAGCACATTGGGCCATTTTCAGATAGGACGGGTGTATGTGGTTTATGGCAACCAGTCAGGGTTGCCACCAGAGGACATGGATCTAGATGAGAAAGCTGACCAGATACTACAGGGTCATCAGGTGAGGGATCAGGTCATACTTGCCACTTAAATATTTTTGCCTGAAAATGTGATAAATTTTGACTGATCAGCAGTATCATTGATACGTATGAGGGTTATTCCTGAAATACTTCTCCTGGTAAAAAGGTGTTGTATGCTTTTCAGGAAAAAGAAGTAAATCACAGGAACAGTTAAAGCAATGGTGATCTGTAGGATCGCTTTTATTACTGTTCCAGATAAGTGGGTATTAGAACATAATCTGCCCTTGAATAAAACTGAGATAACATCTCTGTAAGTCACAGTATAGGTCATTTGGGTCCCTGCATTTAAGAAAATACTGTGATTTTCCCTTCTTTCCTTTCTTTTTAAATTTAAAATTATTAATTCAGTGTAAATGTCCATTCATTTGAAGCATTTTTTCATTAATTGATAACTTCTTACAAAATCATTGTCTTTACTAAGAGTAACTGGCTTGTAACCAAGAAGCAGGATCAAATTATCTTTTTGAATAATGAAAGTCATCCTCTGTAGAAAATACCGTTATTTAGAAAGAAGAGAATAGAGTGAGATGAGATACATTTCCTTTTAATCTGTTTTGTATAAACTGTAGAGTAACAGCTGCTGTCTTCTTACAGAGTGTTTTAGCGGCTCTCAGCTATAATGTTGTTAACAGCAAAGATCATAAGCTTAACATCAATGGTATGCTAGGCTCAGAAGAGGAAATACCCAAGCAGCACCATACGGTGTTCACTTACCTTATATTTTAGCATCTCCACATGCTCAAACAGAACAGTTGACTCTGAGTTAATATGTTAGTATGACAGTTACTACTTGGAAGAACGGTGATGCTAAGAAAATATTAGGAATTGGGATAGATATTTGTCATTTCTGTTTCCTGTTCTCTTTGCTGCAACTGTGAATGTGCATTAAGTTTTGATGGTTTTGTCTTGAAAACGTCTGTTACTTTCATGAGAGCCATCCCTCTTCTTTCAGCCTTCAGGAAGATTTGGTTCTGCCTTGGCAGTCCTGGACTTCAATGAGGATGGAGTACCAGATCTGGCAATTGGAGCACCTTCTGTGGGATCTCAGTTTCTTACTTACAAAGTAAGCCACACACATGGGTGGTTTCGAAATTTTTCTCTCCAAACAGAAAAGTTTGATTGATACATATTTTTTTGAACACTAAAATGAGAAAGAGAATTTCTGTTCTTCGTCAGGATGACATTGTAACTTAAACACAAGGGTTTATAAACTTTATGGGTACTTTGACTAGACCAATGACCACTATCTGTACTTCTCTTTCAGTGGCCTTCTTGCACATTAGAAATCCAAATCAGACTGCAACTTAGCATCACTCATGTGCTGAAAATGTAAGGAGCCATTCATGAAATACAAGTGTACCCTTTCTATTTAGGAACAGAGAGTCTAGAACAGACCTCATGGGTTATTGAGCATTGTCAACTGCTGTCACAGGCCAACAGATGATATCTAAAATGTGATGTGAACACAGGCACACTAGCTAAAATAATCAAGTTACAGAGGCTTAATGACCTGCAGCTTACTAGATAAGCCCATGTAATGGTCCCTGACTGTTTTCAGCCCATGCAAACTGAGAGGCAAAATGTTATGGTTTAAACCACATTCATTAACCTTAAAACTTTTCAGAATTTCAGAAACTAACTTAGCTGCCTAAGTAAAAACATAAATGCTTTTATGTAGACCTATTAGCTTGGAAAATTGTGTGCATCTGTTGTGTGTTGCACTGTGTGTCATTGCAGTAAATAATATATAACAAAATTTAAGCCACATGAGTTGTGTATAATGACTTATAAATATATATATATAAATATATATAAATATATAAATGACCATCCTTGCTCCTTACCCACAGTATGATGAAAATGTACTTCTCTAGTCTGTTGTCTGGTTATAGCAGTACCCATTACAGCATGGGTATTCTGAAATTTGGAGTGAAAAAGATAGCATAATGAGAAGGCTCCGAGAGGAAAATGCAGTTGTGTAAATAGCCCTTGCAGAACTGTTTCACTCCTTGTGCTTTGTCTTGGATTTCATACTTGGTGCTGACATGCAGATGCACTCATGCTGTATTTCCTTTTCCTGTTGTTCAGGGTGCTGTGTATGTCTATTTTGGCATCAAGGGAAGAGGACTGGCATCTCAACCAAATGTTACCATAACATGTCAGGTATATTGATTAGGCTAACACAGGGCTACACAAGCAGGAGGTGAGATAAAGGGGAAAGGGGCTCATGTGCTTAAAAAAGGGAATTTAGATTGATGGGGATCGTGAAAGCAGGTGCTTGCTTATATGTGGGAAATTCATTTGTACTGCCGTGAAGGGAAGGCAGCATCATGAACAGAAAAATGCATAGCCCTCCAAAAAAAAAAGCCCCAAAGAGAACAAAACTGAAGGCAGGGAGTGGGAGGGTAATTTGATCAGAAGCAGACAAAAATAGGTCTTTAGAAGTAAATTGCTTATTTTGCAATGGAATTGGTGGTTTCAGTTCTATTTCAGGCTTAAACTAACTGTTTATTGCAGTATTCCTACTGTAATCTTGGTTGGTCCCTCCTGGCAGCTGATGTTGATGGGGATGGAAATGCTGATCTGGTTGTGGGCTCTCCATATGCACCTGGTGGTGGGCAGCAGAGAGGATTTGTGGTTGCATTTTACTCTTATTTCAACAGGAGTGACCAAGGTAATATTTATTGAGTAAATTAACCCTCTCATATTTTTTGTGACTCTTCATTTGTTCCTAATTAATCAGAGGATAATTCAGGTTCAGAGGGATCTCATAAGTTGTCTAGTCCAGTCTTGTACTCAATAAGGGGACAGCTGTGAAGTCAGACCAGATTGCTCAGAGCTTTATCCAGTTGAGTCTTAAAAACCTGCTGTGGCTGAGATTGCACAGCCACTCTGGGTAGCTGTTCTGCTTCTTGGCTGTCCTCATAGGGAAAAAAAATGTCTTGTTACAGGCAGTGTGAGCCCCTCTTATTTCAGCTTATGCTCATTGTGTATTGTCCTCCCACCATGGAATGGGAGGCACAGAAGGCACCGAATACCCCAGTACACTGGGAAGAACCTCGCTTTATCTACTTGTTAACCTCCTTATAGGTACTGGCAGGCTGCTCTTAGGTCCTCTCAAAACCTTCTTTTCTCCAAGCTAAGTCCTGGTCCCTCAGTCATGCTCACAACTCAAGTGCTCCAGCCCCAACCATCTTGGGGGCCCTCCAGTTTATCAACATCTTTACTGTTTTGGGGTATCCAAGACTGAACATTATGTATTATATGGAGGAGCAGAGGGGGAGCAATTACTTCTCTCAATCTCTTTGTCATGAACCCGCTTATATAGCCTGGGATGCTGTTGGGCTGTTGTCTGTCTCTGCTGTCAGAGAGTCACAGTTGTCTGCTCACCCCAGGACTTTTTTCACATGGCTGCTTCCCAGCCTATCCCTAAGAAGTCTGTCCCCAGCCTATCCCTAACAAGGAATCCCTAGTTCAGGGCAGGCTCAGCTTTCATGTACTTTGTGTAGTCTATTGCAAGGATTTAGAAGCAGGTTATGTTGAATAAAGGCTCTCACCAGCCAGTACAGTTACAGACTTGAGCAAGCAAAGTTGGCAATAATTGTTACCATATCATGCACAGTGAAACAACTTTGCTTATAGAAACTTGTCATAGGATGAATCAGTGGAGTATTGCTAACAGATATTTCTATGCCAGGATACACCAAGTTGTAATTCATATTTTTCTGGTCTGTCAGGACTTCTGTCAGCACAGGATGCCAACTGGATGGTGAAGGGGGAAGAAAACTATGCTTGGTTTGGATTTTCACTTGGTATCTGCCAACTGGAGAATATAACATTGCTGCTGGTTGGCAGCCCTACATGGAAGAGTTGTGCTAGGTGTGTTGTGTAAGACACCTTCCTCTCTCCTCCATTCTCCCCTACTTCTACAGTATTTAAGATTTGTAATAGATTAGACTTCCAGCTTTTCAGGAAGTTTCCTCCTTGTTCTGCTTTAATGTTTTTATTAAATTTGTATTTTTATGCCTTCACCCTCCTGAAAAGAAAGGTGTCTTTAGACCCTTTATAGGTCTTTGTTATTTAGAAATGTTTAAGAATTTCTAGGGTTTTCCTGGGGAGGGGGAGAGGGGACACAAAAATGCTGACAGATAAGCATGCCTAAAATAAACCTATAGATAGCACCTAGTTTGAGATAGCATTTTTAAAAGCAAACCAGACACAAAATGTACTGAGTGATAAAAGAAATACATAGACTATGTCTGTGCTCTCAGTGTTGTGTAACTAGTTAGAAGAAGGATGGGAATTACTAAAACAGATTTCTAGCATTTGACAGCCACTATTATGCCGAGCTAAAGGAGGAAGATATTTTCAGAAGCAATCCTAGCTGAATGTACAAAAATATGTTACCATATACAAATATATTTTGCATTGTAATTCAAGCTGCAATCCCTTCTCATCGGATGTCAGACAGAGTGTTGGGAAGGTGTATGGGTATAACCCACCAAGCACAAAGCTCTGGTTTGCAGTAACTGGAGACAAGGTAGGGCTCCTTCTGTACTGTGGGACTTTATGAATAATTTGAAGTAAAGTGTTATTTTGAAGAAATGACATACGTGTGTTAAAAATCTGACAGGCAATGGGCAGAATGGGTTTGTCTCTGGCCAGTGGTGTGATGTCTGTGGCTGGGATCACAAGGACAGTTTTGGTGGTGGGTGCACCTATGGCAGGTATGTCCTGAAAACTGGAAACCATTTCTGCTTTGGGATGTTTGTTTCTGCATGACCAGAAAACAGTTAAAAAGTTAAAAGTTAACTCCATAAAAGTTTAGTCCATAAGAGTTTAAATTGCTTCATAATTTAAAAAAAAAGAACAACAAAAAATTTCTGTAATCAAGAGTGCTTTACATGTAGATTCCTCTCTGCTATGCATCAACTTCGGTGTTGTTTTTTTTCCCTTCCTTAGAGTTAGCTCTTTAAATTAGTTTAGTAGCATTACCACCTTGCATTATTTATGTAGAAGTGATTTACTAGTAGACTACATATTTCTTGGAATTAAAACAACACACTATTTTTGTACTTTCTCTGGCAGTGGGCAGGAAGGAATTAGGAAAGTCAAAACGTAAAACTGTCTTTAACTTGAAGGCATTTTTTCCCCTGGTACTATTGTTAAGAGGTTGTTTCTATGCTAATTAGTGTTAATACCATATAATGTTTGATCTTATAAACGTTATGTATGCCATGTGGCACACATGTGCCATATGTTAGGTAATGCCAGTATTACCTGTAATTATGTAACATAGATTATATACGTTATATAGATTATATTACATGCTATGTAATGCCAGTATTACCTTTTGACAGTGTAATCCATGTATTAAACTTAACTTCCTCTATCTGATGCGCAACTTCTGTTACTTCTTTTTCCCAGATAGCCTGTCTAGGATTTCCTTTATATCCTCAGTGCTGCTCCAAGCTGGACTGGCTCTGGTATATGATCTGACAGACAGCACCAAGCCTTCTTTGCTCAGCTCATTCAGTGGGGACAGGAGATTCTCTCACTTTGGAGGAGATATACACTTAAGTGACCTGGATGATGATGGACTTGGTAAAGCTTGATGAATCTAGATCAGAAGTGAAATGTTTTACTTTTGGCAGTAGTAAGACTGGTCACCTACGTATTCATACAAGTGCTGAACACTCTGCTTCCTCAATTGACTTGTACCAGTATTCTGTTGTGCATTTTGGGGAGACATCTTTAAAATCCGAAGCAACTCAGTCAGAAATTGAAACATTTTGACTGTCATCATTAATAGGAGTTGTGGTATCTAGATATACGTACATGCCAACTTGTGTGTTTCGGTTTAACATTATTGCACTTCTGATGTGTTATGTCATCCTTGTAATATCTGCAGATGAAATGATTGTGACATCCCCACTGCGAACTAACGCTATCAGCATGATACTGTTTGGTGGGGCAGCAGGCCGTGTTTACATTTACAATGGAAAGCAGGCATCCTCAGGGAATGTGACACAGCACTGCAAATCACTGGTATCTCCCTGTCCAGAGGACTGGGTAAGAAAACAAAAGAGAAATCAGGGCATAAGTTCATAATGACAGCTGATTCATTACATCCAGTACAAGTATCTAGTGCATTCTGACTTGGTTTCAGAAAACAGAACATTTATTTATGTTCTTACGAATCTGTGTGATTCAGCTCCTCCTATTTGTTGTTGAATTACTTTGTTGTTTAGCAGCCAAGGTTATTGCACTGGTCTATGCTCCTAGCCTGGTTCTCTCCACTGACTTTTTATTTTCTCTTTTCTTTTTCTTTTTCAGGCACAATATGTCCTGATTTCTCCTGAGGTAAGTAACCAGAAAATACACTACTGAGAGAAACAAAAACGTCCCATTGCAACAAACAACAGCGTTGTAACAAATAATGTTATTTTACAGGAACTGTCAAGATTTGGGAGTTCTGTTATCACTGTGAAATCTGAAAGAAAGGTGAGAAAAACTACTGGTTTTGGTTGCTTCGTATCATCTTTCTACCTCACTTGCATATGCTAGCCAACACCTCACAAATATATCTTACCCCTTTGCAAAAGTCTTAAAGGCTTTACATAGTTAATTAAGTTTTAATGACTCTCTGCAGCCATAATTAAAACCATTTTATAGGTGGATGAACTGTGGAGTTGCCACAATTCTGGCACCTGATACATGAATTGAAAGATCACTTTAAAATGGCCTGAAATCTTAATAACTTAGGAGTTTGTTGAAAGTTTGCATGGTAAATCAAGTGTAAGTGCCAATTGGCTTTACTGTTCATGCCAACCTGTATGCAAAGTGGATGCTCACCTCTGGAGTAAACCAGGCACTGACCCACATAACATATACAGCTTTGCTGTTCTCGCTATCACTTGCAGTGAACACTGTTTCTGTGTCAAGTATTTCCAAGCACAGAGAGGCCCGGTTCTTAGCCAGATGATTCTGGACATGTTCTGTGTACCCGTTTCTCTCCCTCAGGTGACCATTATTTTTACCAAAAATCAATCCCTGTTTGCATGATATGCTGAGGAACGTTTTTTTTTTCAGCTTGAAGGTTACTTAGTGCTTGTTCAGCTGAGTGGAGTCCAGTGTTCTCTGACATAACCTCTCAGTGTGAGAAGTGAGGCTCTCTGTGATTACTGAGAAAGCCTCAGGACCAGGCTATGGAGGTGTGTGATAGGCCTTCAACAACTGGTGTCTGTCTTCTTGCTGTTAAAACATGCAGTGGAGAAACCACCTCTAAATGTGAATGCTTCTAAACTAGGTTAGGATGCATAATCCAACACCTGAAACACAGGCATCACTGATGGCTTTTGTCTGAGCTCAAGTGAGGCCATTTTCCAAGCAATTGTGTTCTTTTGCTATGGCACCAATCCAGTCCACACTTGAGCTTCATCTGTATTGATCCTAATCCTGAGGAACAGTTTATATTGGCAAGAGATGTATTTGACTGGTTCTGGCTTCTTTCAGTTACCCAAATGAAATAATCTGTTTGCCAGATCATTTTATTAACCACTATTCTGATGAGGTGGGTTGTGCTGGCATTTCTTCTCATAGGTTGCCCAGGGAGTTGTGAATGCTCCATCCCTGGCAGTGTTCAAGACCAGGGTGAACGAGGCCTTGGGTGATATGGTTTAGTGTGAGGTGTCCCTGCCCATGGCAGGGGGGTTGGAACTAGATGATCTTAAGGTCCTTTCCAACCCTAACTATTCTATGATTCTATGATACTAATGATATGGAAGAAATCTGGTTTCCATAAGGCAACCATGTACCTGCAGTTGCATTTTCCTAACCCTTGTTCCATGTCTCTTCAGAAAGAAGTGGTGGTGGCAGCAGAGAGAAGTTCAGCAAAAGCACGCCTTGGTGGAAGGCTTTTTATCTACTCGCTCTGAAAGTCCATGGTAGCCTTTAAGACCAGGGCACGGCTGGTCTTTTAGTGAAGCATATCTGTAGTATCTGCAATACTTCCCTTAACAAACACAAACCAAACATCTGAGAGAGTCAGATAGGGTCCTAGGTAGTTTTAAGGGAGGGAGGGAAGGAGGGACACTGGTTTTAAGTGAAGGGGAACATGAGTATTCGTGGGGGTTTGACTTACAAACCAAAGCTTTAGCAGTTATGTAAAAGCACAAATTAATTCCGTTGTGAGCAGTAGCATCACTTAACCTAGAACAAGCAAGCTGAACCAAAAACTTTCTGAAGTCTGAAACGAGCAGGCAGCTAGATTTTTTTTATAGTAATATTTAGCTGTATAACGAATATTCAGTGGTCACATTCTTTACTGGTCAGATTTGAGTGTTTTCTTGACAAAACCAGGAAAGAATAGCAAATCATTTTCAATTTCTTGTGTACTGTATACAGACAGCGATTCTAAGGTGTCAAAAAGTTGCTGTCAAAATACTAAGCATGGAGGAGGGGCAGCTCTAAGACGGACAGAAAGGTGGGTGCCAAGCAGTAGCACATCTTGAGGTCTGCATTCAGGGTGTGGAACAGCTGGGATCTCCCAGGGCAAAAAGTACAAGCAAGACTGACCAAGTTTTAGGAAATGCTTTTACTTTCACACTCATGGCTGACACTGTTGTGACACGCTTTGTGTTTTTATGTAGAATTCCATGACCAGTGTAACTTAGAACTGTTAACAGCTTTAGTGGTAACAGTATTGTCTTCAACTAATTAACACTAATTTTGTAAGATGTAGGTTTAACAGTGTTCACCAATTATCTATTAAACGACTTGAGCAGCAAGATGTGATGTTATTATTACCATTAGTCTGTTGACACATGTATTTTCTCTCTTGCCTCCTTCACAAACAGAAAGCAGTATTCTTATTTTAAATAATGCAAGTCAGTGGAATAGCACAGAATTCTAAAGGCTATACTTCAGGATTACACATCTCAACTTACCATATTAGGAATTAGCTCAGAGAGGTTGTTTAAGGGGAGAAAAAAAAAGGCAAGATGAACAGCTTGATGTATATTGTGTTCCAACACCTATTTGGAGGCTTATTTGCCCAAATAGCAGGACACTTTAAAAAAAAATTAAATGTGAACTTCATGAAAGTAGTAACTGGATGGAACTGGGAGCAGAGTACCTACAAATCTCTGCACAAGCAGTGTATTTATAAGGGGAAAATAAATAGACTTTTCCTTTTAAAATGAAAATTGGCAAACCCAGTATGTTCTATAGAAATTCCATTCTGAACATACAGCTTTCACCAGTTTTGGTTTTTTCTATGTGTGATCTCATGGTAACTTTATTGTGTGTGAATGCATTTTGATTGCACGAATTGTCAGAAAACCATTACACATTTGTGTATGCCTGCAGGGAGAAAGGCAGTCTTCTAAAAGATGCGTCTTTCTCTCAGTGCTTTTATTGTGCTTTAAGTCAGTCAGGTACAGGAAAAAGAATCAATACAGTTCACAGAAGTCTCCCTGCGCAGAAGCCAGAGCTTGGAAAGCTTACATGAAAGATTCTCAAACAGCTGCACCAACACATTTCTGTACTGGCCTAATGCAACTACAGCTTGGTTGAAAACATCAGCATCCATATCCCTTCACACACTCAGCTTTCCTGGGTTTATCAACCAAGGTATGTGAGCCATTGTTTCTTCCACCAGACTGTTCAGTTTAGAGGTTTCTTACATCTCTACCTGCTTAGTAAAAAGGCTGAAAGAAAAACAACCAAGCTAGAAACCTCAAAAACTTTACAAACCTCATTAGTTTTCTTACCTTCTCATGCCTTTTTATATCTGTAGTTGAAGTCACACACAGAGCAAGAACAACTGTTTAAAAACAATTACATAAAACTGATTTTAACCAAACTAGGATCACAGGCCAGTATAATTTTAATTTATGTACCTTTTCATTTCCATTTTTGACTCATTAGTCCCGAGTGAAAATGTTCACAGCTACCATCTTTTCAGTTCCTACTAATACAGTAATTTATTTGGTGGCACCTAAGGAGCTGCTCACCGTATGTTACAGAGAGGTTAAAAAACTCAAAGAAATACACAGTTTGTGACCTGATTTAGAATGATTTCATGCTCCCTCTACAGACTGAGAGAAACCAGCAGAGAACTACACCCTCAGAGTTCAGAGGTAAGTGCTAAGAAAAATGCAAGTAGTGGGCATAAGACTTTTACTCCTTCCTTCAGTTCACCACAGGACACAAGGCTTCCTACTGTGGTGCAGGCTAGTCCATGCTTTGTCTTGTCTTCTTGGAGAGAAAAAAAAAAGCAGAGCCTAGCTTAGGAGAACCGAACAACTGGTCTGGTGCTTTTTACCAGCATGAGAAGCTGTTACACTGCAGCTGTGTCAATGCATGCAGACTTAGTACCAGAGAACAAGCACCAGGGTGTCTTACCAATAGGCTGCTTTTCCTGTTACTAAAACTGAATACCTTTTGGACCTGAATTAATTGTTAAGGAATACCCAAGATAAGTAGCTACATTTCAAAGCCTGTTATTGCTCTCTTGAAATAACAGAAACATTATTTTTGGTTACTGTCAATCTAGAGGCGATGCTTCAGGACAGATGCAGGTATGCTTTCTGCTTTGGAAAATCTGTTCTCTGCAATTAAAAAGGGCCTTAAAAAAAAAATATCATTAAAAAGGCCATTTTTGGGGTGTTTTTCTTTCTTTGACATTGGAAGTCAGATTCCTAAATCTGCAGCTCAGAACAAGAATTATTAATGAACACTGGCTGCTGCCATCCTTTAAGCTGAAAATACTAAGAAAGGCCATTACATGAAGTATTTGACAGAAATGCCCCCAAAATAAATACATGTATGCAATACAAAAAACTAATGGAACATACATGGGGTGTGAGGTGAGACTACTGTGAAAGCATATCTCCCTTTTCCCTGGTGTTTTTCTCCTTTTGTGTGTAAGCATTAAAATCTCACCATAGTTTTTTGGCATAAAATAATAAATTAGCAAGTTTAGAAATTCTTGCAGTTTTCAGTAAGGAAGAACAAACGGAAGTGTCCAAAGTCCACCTTGTAAGAACAAAAGTCTCTTCATTCCTGCTGTTCTATTGGTTTGTTAACGTACTTCTGTTCAGCCCAAACGTTTCTGATTTAAGGTTGTTCTTTATGTCCACTCTTCCAGCTGCTGGCTGGGATTTTTTCAAAACTGCAGGAACCTAGGCAAGATGATACAAAACAGCCTGTGATTACATGAGAAGCTGTTCTATATGCAGCAGAAAGAAATACATCTTCACAGAGGCCCAAACACTGATTTTTCTTCTCTTAATTTTCAGAACACTGGCTCTAGCTCCCCCCTCCCTAATCCCGTTCAGTGTACTTCTCCAAGGCAAAGTCAGTATGCGCTCGAGTTGGTTTTGAGCAACACTTGAGCATAATCCTGTTGGTTTTAGCCACAGTCAGCAATCCACACAAACTCCTATCTGCTTTAGTAGCAAGGGAGCGGAGGGAAGAAGGGCAGTTATCTGTCACTCCCTTTCTTTTGTCACTTGTAGCAATTTAACTTTTGAATCCACTGGTACTTCCCTACTCTAGTTGTACTAGAGTACCACTAGTAGTCTATTGTACTGTAGCTACAAATAGAGTGCAGAACAGAGTTGGACAATACAATCCCAAAAGCCCTGGGAGGAAATGGTAGTCAATAGGGAAAATAACGCATGTAAAATCTTGCTAATCTGAAGATGGTCTCCTTGGAAATCTTCATACAGCTTCGTACAATGGGGTTCTAAAAACGTCATCAGCATCGATGGCAAAGACAGCTGGTGTGCATGTGAGGAGCTATTACACACTTTGGATTGGGAGTCAGGACATCACAACAATTGCATCATTCTCTGGAGAGCTCCTACACCTAGTACCTGTCCTTATCATCTTTTTATCTTTGCTTTCTTTCCACAAGACAGGGACTACAGATCAAGAGTTGTGTGAGAAGGCAAATTAGGGCTGTTTCTACCATTAGCCTCAGTTTCCCTTGGACTGCCAGGTTAAAGTAATAGTGCGTCTCAAGGAACAGCTTGTAGCTTTGCTTCTGTCAACAGTGAGCAGTATCTCTTAACTGCTCAGGTGTATCTTTGCCAGCGCTGGGGCTTCCCACCTCATTCAGCCCAGCTAGGGAGAACCTCCTCCTTTGCCTAGGAGCAGACACTGAGCTGAATTCCCCCTACTCTGCAGCGCACCCCTCTACAACAGCTTATTTCCTGCTTTAGAAATGGACTGTGCAGAGTGTGAAGCAAAAACCCAGCCAGCCATACATACTTGAGGAGGTAGTGGAGGTTCTAGGTGCCGCCCAAGGAAGGAAAGCAAGCGTCGCCATATCAGACCACTTCCCAGAAACATAATCCCTGTCACCAGCCAAAATATCCTGGGGTCCTACCAACAGAACGTTCCCATTAGTCATAAAATCCTCTCTTCAGAAAAGGGATTATCCAAAGATAATCTCACACTCCCCACCAGAGTTCTCCTCCTTCATGGGAGGAAGTGGTAAACTCTACCATCAACATCCAAGCCCTGCCTTGGGAAAAGGGCTGTTTCATAGCAAAGCATTTTATTTAGGAATCATCCTGTTACTGTCTCATGCAGTTTTCCTTCCTTCATCAGGAAGTTTGAAAATTTAACCCTTCTATGTAATGGATTTGAAAAGAAAGAGTCTTTGCTTTAGTTAGTTTCTTTTAAAGATAGCATGTGCACTTGTAAATTTGAACCCCTCCAGGTGTAAACACGTAACTGACAGCAGAGTATTTCCTGTGGTGTGCTGGAAATGCCCTGAGTACTTGCCAGGTACCCTTGTATATGGAAGACAAAGCTGGTCCCCTTCAGAAGAACAGATGATCGTTAAAGACAACTTAATACTGCTTTTACAGTCAGTCCTTATACAACCATAAATTTGTCTTCCCGTTTCTTTTCCACAGACATGACACAGAAAAAAGGCTGCTAAATTACGCAGTTAGTCACACATAGTAATTCACCTACAAAAAAAGTGATGGTATGAACACATGAATCACCAGAGTAAATTATATTTACACATTAATATAAACCTGGAGCTTTACCTATGGAAAGAAGTTGCACTGAATATAAAATACACTATAAAAGTAGGTCCCATGTATTATGTCACTAATAAAAGCAACACTTGCTCCTTACCTCTTCAAGAGATGACTCCAAGTTCATACCAAATGCAACTCCTATGAGTCCAAAGAGAGAGAGAGAAAAAGTCCCCATAGTCAGCTGCAAATTCAGCCTCATCATCACATTACGGTGGCTAAAGGGAGAAACATCTGTAAGAGGAACCCAAGAACTGATTTGCTGCCCAAATTCTCAAATTCAATATGCACTAAAGCCAAAGAGTGAAAGAGAGGAAGTCATGCTGCAATTAGACAACCCAGGGAGGCATCCACCAATAGCTTACACAGGTAGCTCCCCAGTAAAGAGGATAGTGAGCATTAAATGCTGACCTCAAAGACAGAATGGTAGGTGCTTAGAAATTCAAGCTATTTTTCAGTAAGAAAGCTGACTAGTAGTGAAAACTGTAGCATATAGAGAGAAAATACTCACTCCAAAGTTATTCATTCTTGTCATCACCCCACAGAGTAATAACTTGTGTTACCCAGCCAGATTTAAATAATTCAGGTTTTCTAAATTAAGACTGAACTTTCCTGAGTAAAATTTTATTTTAGCCCTAAATTTGCAGGGGTTTCCTTTAGTGTGTAGCTCCTCAGAAGGATCTAGGGGAAGCCTGGTTTCTCCTGCTATGGATAACTGATGCCTACCTAG